GGCATCTTAAAAATGAACCTGCAGATGTTACATAGTGGTGTGAGAGCCTAGGCTATGTATTTGCCTAAGGCTGTTAGTTGAAGGTAATCAGTAAGTGGACAGTATAGGTTGTAGGAGGCAGTCCTGTTTGTGTGGTTTAGGAATGCCATAGAGTTATAGTGTGCGTGAATCAGTTTTACGTAGATAAAAATAAAGATCATCAGTAATTAATCTTTTTTCATTTGTAATAAAGTTCTGTTTAGTTGTTTTTCGTATGTGTTTGTTGGGTTCTTTGGGATGTCATTCATTTTGTCGATGTATTCTGAGTTGTTCATGATTACAGTGGTGTTGCCTTTATCAGCTTTTAGAATTTTAATGTTAGTGTCTATTTTCAAATTATAAATGGATTTGACCTTGTTACTTGTCAATACTTGTTAATATAAATTAAAAAAAGAAAAGTGGTTAGCTTTTCAATTTATGGGATTGGTTGACTATATTAATAGTCTTGTTTGAGAATTCTTTAAAAAGTAATTTAAAAAACAGTTATGGGGTACTTCGAGAAACTACATTTTGGTGTAGTTACCTGTAATAAAAGTCTGTTGGTTGATGTTAGGGATTTCTTCTTTCTGTAGCTGTAGTATGTTTGAGGTAGAGGTGATATTTTGTTCTTTTATCTAGTGGGTCACCAGTCTTCTGGCTAGATCTTCTAGGCATGCTTTGAACTCTAGACATGGAACTGTTTTGTGGTTGATAGCAAAGTTGAGGCCTTTGTTTAGAAGTTGAAGTTCTGTGTTGTTCGGTCAGATCAGTTGATTACAAGATTAGGCTGAGCTGCATTGTTGTGTTTCACTTGAAGTTGTTGTAGTTTCCTTAGTTGATCTAGTTTCTTATTGTGTATGGACACCTTTTCTTGATTCAAAAAAAAAAAAAGAGTTGTTTTGGTTGATAATGCGTTGTATATTGCCGTAATCATCTGGTTTGAGGTAGCAGGCTAGTTGGTGATCTAATTTCTGTTTAAGTTTTTGTAAGTAGCCCAGTTCTTGATATTTGAAATTCAGGGTTGCTTTTAGTTTTTTCTGCATGTTTTGGATAATACCTGAAAACTGGTTTAAGTTTTTTGATAACTTGACCTTCACAAATTTGGGAATTAGCTCTTCAGAGTGGGCACTGTCTGAGGAAGGAAATATTGTTTCTCCTTTTGATGATTTTTATATTCAGGTTACGAAGTTTAAAGATAGTTTCACAGTATGATTGGTTTATGGTGGTCGATAGGTGAGAGAACATACTTAAAAAGTTATACATGGAATAAAAAATAACGTCTAGAATTATACAACCTCAATTAATCGCCGTGAGGAATTCAAATTCGATGACAAGGAACCTACTTAGCAACTAATAATTCTTGGAGATGGCTTGAATAGGTAATGAAGAAAAACCTTAATATGAGTTTAACATTACAGCGAATGTGCAACGTTTCGACAAGGTTTTGTCGTCATCAGGTACAAGTAGTTTACACTGACACAGACTGAACAGAGGTCACATGACCGTTTATTGTTGCACAACTTAGAAGAGATATTTTGGCACCCCAGGGTGTTGGTTTAGAGTCGGGTTGTTTTGTTCAATTAAGATGGATTCCTTGAACTTTCGTTTGTTTATGTTTGGTCCTTTGTTTCAAATTACTGTGTTTTTAATAGATATACTATGGCTTTTTGAGTTGCAAAGGTAAAAAACATGGGACAATTTTTAATTGTGTTCTGTAAATCTGGTTTCCAATTTTCTTCCTATTTCTATATATGTAGAATTCTGGGCAGTTATTGCATGTTAATTTGTAAATGACATTGGATTGTGTGATTCTAAATAATTTTTGTTTGATAACAATTTTAATTTAGGGCCGGGTTTTTGAAAGAATTGACAGGAATATTGTGTTTAATGGCTAGTTTTGTCCAAGTATGGATAATTCTTGAGTCATAACCCGAGTACTTTCGAAAGGTGAACCTTTTTTCTTTAGGGGCAAACTGGGAATGGTGGTGTAATCGATTGAGTGATACATAAAGGGGAGTTGAATGACGTCATGAAGGTCATCCAGTTTTCCAGGAAATGTGTTGGTGTATTTTTCTATGTACTGTTGTAAGTGTCTCATTTCCGGTACAGTGTAGCCAGCAACAAGAGCATTATGT